GGCACAGAGTTAAAATTTTTTAACATTTTCTAATGGTGGTGTGCCTCGTGATTTTTTTTCATGAAAAAAGTGTGCCTTTGCACAAAAAAGGTTGAGAAACACAGTTCTAGACTGCCACTATTGTAGATATTCATCAGGTTTCACTGATGTCACAAGCTATATGTAAAAAGATAGTTCCCCACTTTTCTATTCCAAAGATGGTTTACTATCATTAGGTATATAATCCTTCTACCAATGTAACACCGGTATATTAGGGACTAATATGTTCTTCAGAAAATATTATAGTTGGATCAATTCCATGTTTCAGTGTATTTAGAAAGCAGTTGAACTCACTGAAAGAATAAATATGATTAGCATGCCAAGGTTCTTAGATTAAATCTCAAATATCTGTAACAAATTGTGATCTCAAAAACAAGGGTTGTCATATTTCCTTGTGATCTAAAGATCCACAAGAAAACATTGGAAAATTAGGCCTCTAATTTAGACATATTTAGAATACAAAGGGAATGTCGTGTGCATTTCTGTCTACCACTGCAGTATTAGATGTTTAGGCTTTTAGGCTTCAAAGCATAAAAACGAAATAGTTTTCTGCTCCCAAAGCCCATTTCATAGGAAGGAAATGTTGAATTTGGCTAAGTAAATTGACCATAGATATACAGTATACAGCAAAGGTGGCCAAACCACATAATTAATTCACAGAAAACAAACTGGTGATTCTAAGGAAAACTACACACCCATAAAACAAATTAGCTGATACAAAAATGTAACAAGCGAACCGATTGAACAGATAAGACAGAGCACAAATACACTTTCCACCAAAGGTAACACAAGCAAACCACTTCCTTACTTTCCATCTTCTTTCCCAGAATGCTATTTTCTGTCCCCAGTATTTTTTCAGTATGCTTCTAAATGTCATAGAAGGCAACAGCCATATCTAAATTTTATTTATTTAGTTTGTCACTCATGTACAAGATAACAGGAATAAGAATAAACATGAATATGAACACAGGAAATGGATACCATTAAATGGGGACCGTAGGACAGAGACGTTAGGCACGCTGGTGCACTTATGCATGCCCCTACAGCAGTGGTGGGTTTCAAAATGTTTTAGAACCTCTTCTGTAGGTGTGCATGCTTTGTGGGAGTGGCTTGCCAGCCATGTGACTGGGTAGGAGTGGCTTGCCAGCTATGACTGGGTGGGCGTGGCCAACTTGTAAAATGTGGTGAAACTCACTTAACAACGCTCTTGCTTAGCAACCAAAACATTGGCTCAGAAACTCTGGCATTTAAGCACATAAGTCTTAAAGCTGTCAAGTTACAAGACCCTTGCACCCCTAACCCTTTAGAAAACAAACTCCAGGGGTGTTCAAACTTTACACCTTTAAGTCTTGTGGACTTCAACTCCCAGAATTCTTCCTCCAGTCACCTTGGCTCAGGAACTCTGGCATTGAAGTGTGCAAGTCTTAAAGCTGTCAAGTTACAAGANGTGAAAGGGCCATTCGACCCCCAAAGGGGTCCTGACCCACAGGTTGAGAACCACTGTTATAGTCCAACCTAATGCTCAGGTAATTACCATTTCAGACAAATGGTTCTCCAATCTCTTGTTAAAAACTTCCAGTGTTGGAGCATCCAAAGGTGAGCTTTGCTTTGTAAAACCTGCAAATTACTACTCCTGCAACATACACAAGGGTCTCAGTTCAATCTTGATTCAGGGTATAGAAGGAGTTAAGACTAATCATGTTAAAAAAAACGTTTTAGATACTCTGGGGAGTTCTTCAGGCTGGAAACACCTACACTGGGTGGCTGCAACACCCCCCCCCCCACTGGACCCCTTACTCTATCCTTGAACCAGGGTGTGTGTTCTGTGTGGCCCTCACGGCCGCGTTTGAACTTGTACAGGATCCTGTATAGGGATCGGGATCCGAATCTTTCCCCTTTGCCCCCTGAAGATTGAACTGCTGGCGGAGACGCTGCTTCGCATGCTAAGACCGGCGGCGGAAGCAGTGGTTTCTCCATTGGCTGCCCCTAACCGCATCAGTCGGCTCCTCAACATCTGAATGAGAGGAGTTGGGGAGGAGGCAGCGAGGGGAAGGAAGGAAAGGTGAAATCACTGCAGATCCCGTCCTGGGCGGTGGGGAACCGCTGAAAGCCGCATCAGGCATTCAGGCAGGTAAGGGGAGATAAGCTGATTCGGAGTGGGGCGGCTGCCGCGGGCTTCACGTTTACTTGCGGGGGGGGGGATTCATTCATGCCACGGGCGGTCTCTCTCTCGACATTTAATATTGTTTATGCTGCAGGCCGAGCGTAGCGCGATAGAGGGCGCTTGGGTTGTTCACTTACCCAGCTCCGGAGCGCAGACTGTTTCCGCGGTTCAGCGCTAGGGGATGCCGTGGCACTAAATGGCAAAAAATTCCGCTCGGGGTAAAGTTAGGAGGAGTCCGCGAAGGGGTTTTGTTACCCAGAGGGATGCTGCCTGCTGCTGGGCGGATTGACGGGATCTCTTTTTCCTGCTTCATGGAGTCCAGTGCTGCCGTCATTAGCCCGACGCCTTAATTACTGGATTGTTTTGCACTGGGCGACTTGAGAGCCTCGGGACAGGTCCAGATATCGGTGGGATTTTGCTTTCCGACGCAGTCACATTCCATAGAGTGATTATTCCTCGTTCCGACGAGAAACGGAAGAAAAGTCAAACTTTTCCTTCAGTTGCAGCTTTCCCAAGTGGGGTCCTTCAGATATTGGGGTACAATTACTGTGCTACTATGGCCATCACGAACACCACTGACAGAAGGAAGCTGCTGTAGGAGAGATTTGCATAGGAAGAAAAATGTAATAGGGAAGAGGAAGAATATAACAGCAAAGCTTCTGGGTGGGTCTCCTACAGGTGCATTGGGGTTTTTGGTGCTATAGTGACGACCCTCCCCCCCAAAACAACATTTTTGAATAACTTGGTACCTGAGTTGAAAACATATTCCCAGTCAAAGAATTTAAAGAGTGGTTAAGTAACTTATTTGATTTCCTGCTTACCTTTGAATAGCTAAAAGTAGGAAAAACAGGTTCTGAACCTTATTACTTGGCAAGCAATCAGCTCATTCGTCAAAAACAAAAATATATGTTCAGTTGAGTGATTCATAGGAATATGCAGTCAAAATTCTCCTTTTATCTCTTCCTCATCACCCAACTCATTTGTAAGGCAAATCTCACTCTCCAAGAGGTGACAAAAAAGGCGTCTTAGTCACAGCCCAACTAATTTGTGATTAGTGCTGAACTGTGCATTGAGGTGTTATGAGTGAGCTTACTTAAAGTGACACTTCCGTTATAAGGAGAAGATGGCATTCTCCACATTCATGATGCATAGAAGCTGGCTGAGAAAATAGGCAGTTTAATTTATATATCTTCTTCTGCTAATATTCTTTAAGTTTCCCTTCCCCTTCTAGGTGCATTATGCTTCTCGTCAAAAGCAAGATGGATCGTGGAAAATGATGCTTTTTCCAATGGTTTGTCTCTTCTTTATAGAGTTGTCTGATCAGAGAGAAATCTCAAAATATCCACCAAGGAAGAGCCATGGAACTGAACTCAAAGGTATTTTGGGAAACATGTAACACTTGGGAGGTTCAAAATTATATTTCAGCATAAATCTTCCCAGAAAGACTCACACACTACTTCTAGACCAATGTTTTTCAACCACTGTGCCGTGGCACACTAGTGTGCCGTGACATAGTGTAAGGTGTGCCGTGGGAAAACACTTTATATATAGTCTATATAGGCACAGAGTTAAAATTTTTTAACATTTTCTAATGGTGGTGTGCCTCGTGATTTTTTTCATGAAAAAAGTGTGCCTTTGCACAAAAAAGGTTGAGAAACACAGTTCTAGACT